TCTGTTCATCTCTACACGGTGGCAGGGGTCAGGTAGGAGGAAGGGGGATGTGGCCAGCAAAAGCCTCTGAGAGAAGGTGCTGCCCTCAACTGCAGTTGCATTTCCTGACACGGAGGCACAGCACAGCCTACAGGTGAGCACCACAGGAGACTACCCCAGCAACGGGCAGAAAGGCAGAAACGGGCTTCTCATAGATACCCAGGTATCCTGGAAGGATTTGTGTCAAGAGATTTGTTCTGACCAGAAGAAAGGAAGACAGACTATATAATAACTGAAGAGGCAAGAACAAATCTCTGTGAAGAGTTTCTACTGGATGAATGTGAAGTATACCCAACTCTACTTAACACAACATTCTAGAAGTGCTCCAGCCTCTCACTCCACTGTGTAACGGCCAGTCTGGAAAGCTGCATGGTTGTTAGCTTTGTGTGTCCAGCAGCCTGTGACTGTGCTGGTTTCTGGCAGAGCTGGTCCCCAGGCTATTACTAGAGAGCCATGTCACCATGGCTGATTGGTGAAGGTGCCCCAGGCTCCAGACTCCAACAAGTATGGCCAAGCCAGGCCAGTTAGAAGCCCTTTCCAGGCTGGAGATTACATACACACAGCTTTTAATAGGCAGTGGGATTTTCTTAAGCCTTTCTTCCAAAGTTGTTATAGAGGGAGAGCCCAGCATCATTTGTCCAGCCTTTCCTGCAGCCAGAGGACAGACAGGGGCCACCACGCTTGAGATAGTAGTCCTGTCATGAGTTCTTCCCGGTCAGCTATTTCACTCCCAGAAATGTTTTACCAGTTCCTTTTTTCAGTGAGGCAAAGTGGAGTTGGACTTCTTTTGCAAATAGACTTGGCGCTCAGAAGGGAACATGCACCAGTTTGCTTGATTTCTCCCCAGCCGCATGTGACCACTTCCCCACACTGCTCACTCCTGCCCCCCAGCTTGTGCTAATGGGGCCATGGACCACTCAAGGGTGGATGGGCAGGGCTGCCCACCACCCACTGTTTATGGGAGGAAAGAAATCTTTACTGTAGGACTCAATGCAGTATGCCCAATCAATATTTGACAAGTTCAACAAAAACTCCCGGTGCCACCAAGGTCACCAGTAAATGAGCAGCTTTTCAGTTGAGCTTTATCCCACCTCACCCCAAAGTGGAACCACAACCAAATGAAGTGATACAAACCCAAGGTCCTCATAAGTCCACATAAAGGTAGTATTCAACTTTAAGCACCACCTCCCACACCAGGCTAGTGAGACTCAGTATAGTTTTGCAGGACAGACTGAAAGATCACCTTGAAACCACCTTACCTCTATTACCAAGTTCTCCATCCCTCAGATCTCATATGAACTGACAAGCCCACGTCACAGCTATTGCCTATTAAAGAACACACCTAATACACACAGATAACATAGCACTGATCTTTATTCCATTGAACAACCCTGCCACTAAGAAACAGAAACATGCTTTTTGATATATAGGAATAGCATCTCATCCCATTGCACTTTTATGTGTATTAAATTGTAAAGCCAAAGGAAAGAATCTAAAAGAAAGTTACTTTAACAAATCATTGTAAAATGTGTCTATGTTCAAGGTCACTGTCAACACCTTGGTAGAAGCGCTAAGTCCATGGCAGCATTTAGTCAAAACTAAGTGAGAAAGCTTTAGGAATCAAATACAACCATCCCTTAATCATAAAAATACCACATTTTAAATTTCAGTTCTGGCACATGAAATTCCTTCCCAAGTAAAAATTTTTTTAAACATTTCTGTCCCTAAATCTATTTTAAGGGGGCCCTCCCTGGTGGCGCAGCGGATTAAAGCACAGCACTAAGACGCTAAAGCCACTTCTGCATGAGTTCGATCCCCGCCGGCCCCGGAGGTGACCACATGGCGCGGCAGACCTCTCCTGACCAGCCAGCTGCTACCCTCAGCAGTGAACTTCGTCGATCTGCCTGTTCTGCTCCCCACTCTCTCTGGTGAATCCTCTCGCTACCCCATCTCTGGCCTGTACCCCAGTCTGTATGCATAAATAAGTAAATCTTAAAAAGTTTTTTAAAAAAATCTATTTTAAGGTTCCTTATATGGGATACTTTTATCAGTAATATTCAAAGCTATGATCCTCTCCTTTCCTTTTGTTTATTACTTTTACTTGTGAGTTCAGGTTTTGTGTGGAAGATTTACAGGTTCAAACCACAGTGCTCAATTCCACTTTTTAAAAAGAAAAACAACTTTCAAAAATTTCTTACCCCTAGTTACACCTACTAGCAAATAGGATAACTGATATTTGTTTTTCAGAGAAGGCACTATGATATCTGAATTTCGAGTTCTGTTTGAATCATCTAGATCAAAAGCATCCTCATTACCCTGCGCACTGTCCACGTTCTGATTTGTTCGGCAGACTATCTATTCTGACTCTTAGGTCAGAGTCAGCCACCTGTGTCCAGACAACACTGAGTTGCACTTCCCACCCCACTATGTCTCTCTTGGTGTGGCCTTTGCACCTGATACTATTATAAAAGTGGTATCTCCAGGGCCGTGGCCTAGACAGACACAGGCAATCCTGAATAGAAAGCTGGCATTTCAGATTTTATTCAAGAAGGCTCCCAAGCTAAGTCTTGTGCTCCTTGTAGATGAACATTACCACCAAATTTCTAGCTGTAACACAATTTATGGTAAAGAAGACTATTCAACTGCAAAGGTCTTTTACAAAAACTGTTCTTAATGTCTTTTTTTTTTTAAGTACACTTACTTTCATAAGTGAAGCTTATCTTTACTGTGTTCTTATTCCTTACCAAAAACTTTCAGATCGAAATATAAGGTTATGAATAGCCTAGCCCATCCTAAATGTTACATATCAAAAGTTCTATGGGAGAGAAGTAATTCTATAAAGGCTTTCATAAAAGTTACATTAAAAATAAAAAAAAAAAAACGGGGAAAAATAAAACTTTATTGTTTTTGCCTGGATTTAAATCTCCCAAAAATTTTAATTCTTTGTAACTCATTTATACAAACTCATCTAAACTCTCCCTATGTACCACTTGTATAAACCAGGTAAACATTGGATCTAGCCTGCTGAAGGACACTCTGTTTACAGTGTGAGTTTACCAAAAGCATTTTATTTCATGCTGAGTAAAAGAATAAAACAAAAATCATTTATAGGTGATTTTATCAAAGATAAAGTGTTAACACAACACCCACAGAAGATATCTGGTGGTACACTCTGAAAATAAAGTATGACTCTGAAGCTCAAAAGATTTCATAACCATCATACTTGATAATCTGCCCTCATTTTGTCTACAAACCAATTTGGAAAGATTTCTCTGTGAAAGAACAGAAACTCAGAGTCCATTTTTACTATAACTGATTGGAAGTATTTAAAAAAACAAAGAACTTAGCAACACCATCTTTGAAATTAGCTTTAATAGAAAATCCTGAAAACTTTTTTTATGTTAATAGGAAATAGGAATGTGTCCCATCTACTGTTAGGAATGTGCAAATCAGAAATGCCTGTGTGGAAGGTCAGCAGTTGTAGAACAGCTTGAAGGCAATCTGAATTCCGAAGTAATAGCCCAAAAATGAAGGCTAAGGGAAGAGGTCAGATATACTTTTCAACTTAATTATAAATCTCCTCTGTAAGTTTTTACAGTCAGCAATGAGGATGCATCTTATTGAACAAGGGAATATAAAATCAATTTACTATTAAAAAGAGGCCATAGAAAACTTAAAAGAAATCCTCACTGAGAAAATTTTATAAACAATTTTCAGAGGCAGGGTAAGATTAACTGATAAAGATCCCCCAAAAATTAAAAAACAAGAAAACTTCCCCCATGGTAATTAAGCCAAGTTATTCTTTGTAAGAGCCAAAAAAGAAATGTTGAGTGTAAGCAGTTAAGCAGTAATTAAATACCTAAGATTAAGTCATACATTATCACATAATTCCTTAAAAGGAAAAAAAGTGACCTAAAACTTAAGTATTACAGTGAGTTTTAGACACATTGTCCCCTCCTCACCATGTAAAAAGCAGGGCCACGCACGACAATTAGTGTGCTGACAGAATGTATTAAAAGCAAAGCATCTCAACCTCCATGAGTTAATAAGGATGAACCTTAGAGAACAGAGGACATGGGAAAACACACCAAAATTTCAGAAGCTTCTGATTTAACAGTCACCGCTAACCATCAATGGTATACAAGTCAAGTTTTTGAACAAGCTGGAACTTTACTAAAGTTTAATGGTGAGTAGATAAGAGCAAAAACATCTGGGCACCAAGGTATATAGCTATGAAAAGAACATAAATACTGGAATTAATTCACTGCTCACAAAAATAGTTTAATAAAGTGTTAAAGTAGTGAGAAGGAATTACTTGATAGATTCCACACTAGAAGACACTGTCTTTCCTGCATCTTTCAGTCATATATTTCACATAGCTACAATTACACTCAGACTCTGTCATCCTACCTTCCTCCCCCCAAAAAATTTGAATTATCTTCAGAATTAAGGCTTATACCTGAATGTTTATATAGAAATACTTGCAGGCAAGTTTTAAGACATTTTAAAATCCACAATTAATTCACCATTATAAGTCAAAGAAAAAAGCAATAGACAAAAAAATTTTATCACACAAAAAAAATCGAGGTAAATGAAAAACTTAGTGTCCATATTTGGGTGAGATTTTGGTTCTCACTAAACTGGAGCTATTTTAAAGCTATCAGACTAGTAAAGTAAAGTGAAGTAAAGGGAGATTCACTAAATAAAAAAAATGAAAGTTTTAGATTCATTATTAAAAGTATTAGTGTATGCAAAAAAATATTTTTGGATAAAGACCTGATTTACTGCTAACTGACATGAAGTAGAACATCTGTTCAAGGCAGAAATATTTGGTCATGTCTTTCCTCTAATCCTTAATAAAGTTCTGTTCTTATGCAGAATTGTCAAAACAAAACCTCCCAAATGACAGCTGTGTGGTGCTGTGTGGTATGTGCATACGTCTACAAGCTAACCAAGGCACAAGTTCAAGTGACTTATCAGAGGTCACATGGTTCACTTAACCTCAAGCTTTTTTCTCTTTATAATAAGAGAAAATAAGAACTTACTTCCTTTTATTATAGGCTACTGACTTTTCAAGGCATATTTGCCTCTTTTCTAGAAAGAAGCTATGGAAACAAAGGCAGAAATAAAACTGCCAGCCTATCAGGTCAAAGACCTTAAATTTCAGGGTAGATTTAACTATGATATGATTTTCCCACACTATGTGACAGGCAAGATGGTCTACGATTTTGAAAGTGTAATGGCATCATTTTCAGTGTTTAGGTCTGAAGCTTTTGCAAGTTCTGTAAACTTTTTAAAAAATAATTCCTTCTCAAAAGAGTAAGGTATGAAAGAACTGACAAGTTTGACCCCAAAACAGCATCTTCCATGAAGGCGTACTCGATCCCCTCCCCTAAATGTCCACAAAAGCTTAAATTCAATCTTACAAGGCACTGAGCGGCACAAGAAAGGACTCAAACCACATTTCTCCTTTCCCTTAGCTTTCCCCCCAATAAAGTGCACAAAGCAGAGTAATAAGAAAATAGACACAGGCTTAGATCTATATCAGCAAGGAAAAGAAATGCTTCCAGCAGAAATGGAAGTGTTTTCAAGGATCAGAGGCCACAGGCGAGGTCTGTGTGTTCACTGGTGCCACATCCAGCTCATCCTGGTGGCCCCAGATCTGTGTTCCTCAGGACAGAGACGTGTGGCCATGGCAGAACCCCAGGAATCAGCAGGGACTGGTCCGGTTCTTGTTATCTTGCTACTGAGTTTTTTTATCCACAGGCGGTCTGCCAACCAGCGCGTCTCTCACAGCAGCCTGAGTGGAATTACCGATGTGGGACGTCGCCTGCAGAAATCCCACATTCAACATGTAAGTTGATAAGACAGCACAAGATAAAGGGAGTAAGTCTTCAGTGATGAACTTTAAAAACTTGTCTCCCTTTCCTTCCACTGGGGAGGGAAGAGGCCAGGACCCATGGCAGGCAGGTCCCAGGAGAGATGGCCGCGGCCCTGCTCTGCTGCTGAGGTGGGATAGGCAGCTCTCATGACATCACCACACACACTCCTGATCTAACCAACCTATTCAAACTAGTCATAAATTAAATCAAAGCTGCTAAAAGAGCAGATCCGAAAAGTCCTTATTACAAGAAAAATGCTTTTTTCTAAGTGTGTATGGGGACAGATGTAAACTAGACTTAGCATGGTTAAACAGGAAATTTCACGTCACTGTGGTGTGCATAAGACTAATGTTACGTTTCAATTATACCCAATAAAAAAAGCTCTCAATCAGAATCTCAAGGGTCTGTAAATCTGTTGAGACCTTGACAATGTCAATGTCACAGGCTCTGGGAAGATGTAAGTGAAGGAGATGCCATCCAGTAAAAATACTCCAAACAATAGGTTTAAGTTCATACTTTCCAAAGCTCTTGATTTTCAGTGAAGCACATTAATCTTGGAGGGGAATATATGATGAACATAGTAAATGAATATAACTGGAAGATCCTGTGAACAACACAGTATGTCTTGATTCTTTTTTTTCCCCCCTGGCATCAAACAGCAGTTTTTAGACACACACACAAAAAAAAACATTAGGAATACATACTAACAGCCTAAAGGATATTCAAACATAAAGCCTATCAGTAAAAATGGCCAATAGGTTCCTCGTACCTTCTTCCACTATGAACCGCTCCCACACAAAAGTGTCTGACACAGACACACAAACACATGCAGGGTAGGACCTCAGACTCCTCAGGCCACACACACACTTACCTGCTCTAACACAAACGCTGCTCCAGAGTCGATAGCTCCACCCAGCTCACGGTACTGGCCAGAATACCTGATATAGCCCCAGGTGAGAAGCGCTATTAGCAGCAGCCCGATCATACAGTTGAACAGCTGGGCCACGACCTCCAGGCCAACAAAGCCAGTGAAGCCGGAGGCGACATACAGGGCCATGATGCCCGCAAAGAGGACAGCAGGCGTGCGGAAGGTGCTGAAAACGTTCTTGCTGCCATTGTGCTTGCAGAAGTTCTCATAGAGCTCCTTGAGCTCCTCCTCGAGCTCCTGCTGGTAGCGGAGGCTGAAATCCTTCCCACCCATCTTCTTGGTCTTCTGAAAATGGTCAAGAGCAAGCTGTCTGAATTCACTGTGCTTCTCCTCTAAAATGTCAGGAGACATGTAAGGTTTCTCTCCTCCGCAAACCTAAAAAGAAAAAAGCCACTACATGGAAGAGCCCTTCTAAATCTAGTGCCAAATGGAACAAAAGAAGATGCTGGGTGGGGGAAAGCGCTTTAAGGCATTAGGGACTAACTTCAGAGTGATGACCAGGATCAAGTCTGGGCCCAACTTGCTGAGAAACCACTTAAATACCCAGGTTGCTAGGCCCAGTGGAACAGAGACCCTACAAGAAACACCATCATTACAAGGCCTCAATGACTGGAGACGGGCCTGACTCAATCCCAGCATCCCATCACCTTGAGAACACTCAGCAGGATCAAGTGAGCTGCTGACATCAGTGACAACACCCAGGTCATAGGTACATTGGAGAAGGAATCATGTCCCACATACCTCCTCCATGTGTTTATAATAAATGTCCTTGGCGGAGGCTGCAGCTGCTAAGTTGTTGGCTTCAGCAGTGGCCTTTGAAGAAAGGAAAGCCTGAATCACAAACCCTTCCTCTCTCAGGTCCTTCCACCAATAACCAGGTAAAAGTTTCCTCTCCCCCTTCTTTCTTCTTTATTGTTCTTCTGGTTTTGATTTTCTTTTTAGGGTTCCGTTTTATACAATTTATGAAATAAAATACACCTTTTCTGACAAATTTTGTGCCAAAAAAACGTTTTTACACACAAGAATAAAACCTTACCATATATTAAACATCCAGAAACATTACTTCCTTTGCTTCAGCTTTAAACTTTTGATATAAATCAAAAAAGAAGGAAAAAAATTATCTAGATGACATCAATTCTAGGCTCAAGCTTACTTTGTAAAAACATTTTGCTACTGAAGAAACAAACATTTGGCAATAAACAGCTCATGAGAGACAGTAGTATGAACAAAGTGACATCTTGAAAATAACAAAATGTTAAAAATACAACTAGTTGAAAACTAGAAAGCCAGATTTGTAAATTTACTATTTATTAAAATAAGTAGATAATAGAAAAATGACTTGTTGATATAACTGGGTATGTTTTACCTACACAGAGTAAAAACTCTTCTCCACAGCATGTGGGGAGGGGAGGAGACCAGGCCCAGGGAGGCCATCCTGTCTCAAATGTACCCCACCAACACAGACAAGAAAACTGAAGGCCATCTCACCGGAGGAAACACGCCAGACAGTAGCAGGTCTCCACTGAATGGGAAAGGAAGGGCCTTCTGGAAGTGCCCTGCTTACTGCCTATGTGTCAACTCAAGTAGCCAGAGTTTCATTTGGGCAACAGAGAGTTACTTACCTGGAGCATGGATTTGGGGTGAGGCAGATCTTCTCCTTGGTAAATTTTAATATATGCCTTAGGATAGGAACATACACATGATTATGAAAATGTTCATCTGTCTTTAAATGTAATTTCATTTTTAGAAAAGTGACCAACACAACTGCATTTTCTTAAAGATCTGGATTCCACACACAGGAATTAGCAAAATCACAACACACCTTCGAGTGCATGTTAGCATCCTTAGCTAACCAAAATGCTCTCGAGTAGCATCAGCCCACAAAGCTAGTCCCCATGCACGCTGGCCTCACCACTACCTGTGGTTAGAGTGACCATCCGCCTTGAGGGAGTCACGTCCCATCTAGGTGCCGTCTCCTTCTACTCACAGCAACTTCCTAACCATCTCCTGTCCACACCATCTTCCTTGAGGAACAATCTTCCTTTAGCCACAGTAATTGCTCTTCTAAGAGAGTGCAAAGAACATCCTCTTGTTTCTTAGCTGATACTGCCACCGAGTGGCCCACTCGTGGAAGGACACTGAAATCTAAAAGTGCCTCTCGCCATTTCCCCTGTGAAACTTGCCCTAAGTTTTAATTTAAATTTAAATTCAAGTTAGTTTAAAACTAGATCAGTTTGCCCAAAATGAAGCATTTTAAATAATTAAAACTCATATGTACCTTAAAATACTCCAACAGCCCCCGGCAGGTGACCTTTGAACCATTGATCTCCTTTTCCATTAAGTTAGAAGAGTTTAACACAAATGGTATCAATGTCTGTAGCTGCTCTTTGAATTCGCCAGAAACATCTGTTCACAGAACCATGAAGAAAAATGTAATAAGCCAAAGAGATGTATTCAACCAAATTTAAGTGTGAAACAAAAGCCTTACAATCTGTTTCAACTTCACACATAAGGGTACTTCAGTTTCCAATATGTGTGTGTGTCCGTCCATGTGAGTGTATGAAAGTAAACACTTGTATAAATGTGAAGAAAAGGATTTTCTAAAATGAGACTTAGAAACATAAACTCAAGGCAACTGATTCCAACCACATTAAGGCAATGTAAGAACAACAAGCTATTATTATTTTTACTTTACTGGGAACCTAACAATCTCAGGTAAGTTTATAAACAATAGTTTACTTGAACACACATGTAAACTGAGGACTAGCCATTAAATGACTCAACGTCTCAATGAACAAGGAACAGAAATAAGGCAAGGGGACCCAAGAATCCCAACTCTGATCTTGCTGAGCTCCCCTGGAATTAGCACTTTCTGACACTGATACATGTCCCAGTGCCAGGTTTTTCAGGGACTACAGGAAAGATGAAGCCAACACCCAGCCATGCATCGCGTTACCTTTCTTGAGGAAATATTTAGCCTTCCTTTATTTAGCAGGTTCAACTGCTGTAAACCACTCATCGGAGCCTGTCTTTTGGGAAGGTAATCACTGGACGTCACCACCCCCATGAGGCTGAACTGATTCTGACAGTCACAATAAAGCAGGAACGTACTCTGAGCTAGACTCGGGATGCTGTTCTTCTAAGAGAATGCCCTATTCCTCTGAAGCAGTCAGTGGACTCACATTTTTTGGTCACTATTTAGTTCACATTTTTTGGTCACTATTTAATTCCAAAGATTAAAACAACACCATCTGAGCCTCCCTGGTGGCACAGACCTTAAAGCCTCAGCACTATGAAGCTATCACCAACCAGTGCAACATGAGTTCCATCCCCAGCCAGGGAGCTAACCCACAGGGCACAGCAGACCATTGCTGTCTCCCTGCTGCTCCCCTCAGCAGTGGATTTCAGTGGATTCCCACTCTGGCACTGGTTAATTCTTTCACCCCTGCACCTCTGGCCTCACCCAGTTTTTGTTTGCAGAAATAAATAAAAATAAATCCTTACAAAAAAAAATACACATACACACACACGCCAAAAAAAAAAAACAAAACAAAACAAACGGCAACATCTGTAACACACCTTTCAACTTCCCATCAAAGTCAGGGCTTGTGGCCACCTGGAGCCCTGGGTGTGGCAGAAGGAAACAGGTGACTTTGGAGAAACATGAGTGAATGTGGTTTCGGACACTCTGAATTTCTTCATGCTGATGCTCTTTCACCTGCCAATGAAGACCCACAATTTACAAAAGCCCACTTACTTTTCTTTACAAGGAACCAATAAATGGCACAGGAAATGAAGGAAGACTTTCTAAATCTGATGGGTCACAGTGGCCCATGTTTCCAGTAGGAAAACTCAGAATCCTATAAAGCAACACGTACAAATTTTATCAGTCATGGCTTGGCTCCTATAGCTACCAAAGAACAGGTACTAAAGGGTTTCTTAAAAGAGTATTACACAATACTTAGGGAGAACAAGGGAAGGTTTGTGAGCATGAGGGGGACCTAGCCAGTCAGTAGTGGATGAGACAAAAGACTTCTCTGTTTTCATTTTGGAGAACAGGCTAAGCCTGTTTATGTCCATCCCAAAACAAATAAAGATTTTGAATAAAAACAACAGAAATGATGTTCTGAATATAAAATTCTAAAGGCACACACTCCAGGGAACATGTGCACACCCTAGATTCTTTAATATTAGCATGAACAGTATCAGTGTGTACTAATGTTCATAAATATTTAGTAACTTAATATCATTTTCTATAATGATCTTTAAAAAAAAAATAGCTATATGCAAACAAGAGTTACCACTACTTTTAGGTGATTCCTCAGATTATATTTACTTACTTGCAGGCGTTTATCCAAAAACGACATTCCTCCCTGCAATCCATAGCTGTATTCGTAAGGAAAGCTCCAGTCTCGAACCAAAAACATCAGTGTCTTTTTAGGAAAAGAGCAGACTAGTTATAATGTTGTATAAGTGCATTTTCAAAATAGCAAATACTTGTCTGCTTCTCAGAGGGGGCAGGGAGATGTGAACGGTTTGTATATTCTGCAATGTCTCAGAAACCCTATCAGAACTGCAGGGACATGGATAGGCCAAATAGGAGGTCAGAATATCCCATCTGCTATTTTTGACCCCACGGGTTTATGGGAACAGAAGGAAGCAGATGAGAAAATGCTAAATTTAGGGCTCTATTCTAATGGCAAATATGGGGAATGTGCTAAAAATTAGAGAGTAAACAATTGACCTATTTTTAACATCAGCAAAGAAAGAAAATAAGTAACAATATTCCAAGCTCCTCTACTCTGAGATCACTAGGCATTCCCTTCCTCATAAAACAATTAGCTAAAGCAGAGGCAAGCAGACTTTATCAATAAAGAGTCAGAAAGTAAACATTTTAGGCTGCTGTAGCCAGAAGCAGCTGAGGACATTGCAAAGGAGTATGGCTGTATTCCAGAAACTAACCTTTAAATTTCAGAAGATGTACACATTATGAAAATTTTTTTAACCTATTAAAAACATAAAGACCTTTCTTAAGGTCATCTGAAAACAGGCAGCCAGCCAGAATGGGTCTGAGTGCTATATAGTTGGCTGATCTCTCAACATGAATTACATCTATAGTTAATAACCTACCTGGAAGGGTTTTTGGAAAATTTCATCCATTGCCAGGCGGCCATATTCTGTGAAGAGCTATAAAAAAGAATTACAGATTGTCAGGCAAAATTACTTAGAGTGTTTCTGTGGCTATTCTTTAGCAAAGTATTCATTTAACAGACTGAAGACACACAACTTATGTAAGACCACAGTTCCGCAGCTTCAAAAGCCCAAGAGAGCTATGAACCTTAAAATAATCTTGGCTATTCTTCTCTCCCATCCCACATTTCAACTCACTAGCAAGTCCAGAATTCACCCACTCACAATTTCCATGTGATACTGATTGATCCCAATTTCCTTGGGATACTGCCAGTCTCCTGACCAGTCTCCGGTCTCTACCCCACCCCACCCCAGGGCCAGTCTCACCACAGCAGCCACAGCGGTGGTCATACATGAGGCCAGCTGGGTCCCCTAGCCTCCATGCAAACCCCACCACCACCCTAGGTCACCAGGAAAGCCAGGCCTTCATGTGATCCCGCCTACAACTCCCGGGCTGTTCCTGGGCCTGGGCACACTGCCGCCCCAGGGCCCTTGCACTAGCTCCTCCTTCTGCCTGTAATGTTCTTCCCCCAGATTATCTACACAAGCAACAACCATACTTCTTGAGCTCTTTACTCAAATGGCTCCTTCCCACAGAAACCTACCTGAAAAGATTTCTGCACTCCACGCAGTACTTCCTGCCCTGGATCTCTTTTTAATTTTTCTCCAAGGCTTGTCTTACCATCTAACACACTTCACCTTTAACTTGTGAGAGTTAAAATAGAAACTCCATGATGGTGAGAATACCTGTCTGTCCTGTGCATGACAGCACCTCCAGCAGCAAGAAAGGCACTGGGCCCACAGGGTTATGCAACTTAAGTGACTGAATCAACAAGTCCTTTCAGGTCAGGGTTTACACATACAAAATTTACTCCTATTTCTTCATGAAGCCTCACTAAGAGTATAGCAAAATGAAGCTTAAAGGGTATGAAAGCACAAGACAAAGAGGATAAGTAATAATATGAGAGGAGAGAAGAATTGTCAAATAACATCTGGAAGAAAAAGTGACAAATTGAGAACTCCCTGGGTTATGCCTTTCTCTGACCTGCTAAGACATTTGCCAAAGGCACAGGGACAGGTACTCCTGTGGCATCCCTGAGAGGCTCAGAAGTGTCAGTGGCCCTGCAGGAGCAGTGAGGGAGTGGGGCTGACAGGTTAAAAAAAAAAAAGGTTGGAAGTCTTTGGAAAGAGCACTGACACACCTAGATCCTGCCCGCCCCCGCAACTCCCACCACCCCGTGCCAACCCTCTTCTTGCCCCCACAGACGACAGCAAGTATAGACATAGAGAAGGTAAAGTGCAAGGAACTGAGTCTTGGCTGCCAAATACGAGAACAGGAGTAGGCGCTCTAGGCCTCACCAGAAAAGGGTGCCTACATCAAAGTCTGCAAACTGACAGAGACACCTTCATCCTCTCACCCTGCTGGTGCCACAGCCAGCTCCCCAGGCAGGAGTTCAAAAATTCTCCTGGGGGCAAGGGGATAGCCCAGAATAAGTCTCTAAATACAGACTTCTAGGGTTTGTCGCAAAAATAGCTGAACAATCTCGCTCTATCGCTTCACTGTAATCCAAACTAATGAACAGGGCTTACCCCTTCCCCAAAGTTCCAAGTCAGACTGCCAGCCAGTCACTCTCAACGAGCCAGTCAAGGGACATGAGAAATTTGGAAAAAGCCTCCAGTAAGAAAGACAAAAACTCATATTCTCTGATTGTAGAACCTCATATCATTGCTTATATAATTTCTTTCTCTTCATTTTCTCTGTTGTCTTTCACTAAAGTATCTGTAGTAACATAGTAAACCTCTCCTGAGGTTTAGCCCTCCTCCCCTCTCTTCCTCGCTCCCTCCACCCTTCCTGATTTCTGCACTTTATCTCTTTATTCAATCTGCTAGGAAAATTTTTTCCACTTTGGGCCTTCCTGGTGGCCTTGAGATTAAGTCTCAGCACTACAACTGATAAGGCCTGAATCCAATACCCAGCCTTGCCTGCTGCTCCCCTCAGCAGTGTGTTTCAGTTAATCTGATTGTTCTGCTCCCCACTCTCTCTGGTGATCCTCTCAGCCCCCTCACCTATAGCCTGCACCTCAGTTCTTCTACACATACACACACACACACACACACAGACCAGAATGTAGAGAGGATGCTATATTTATTACATAGTTATACTACTGACTTCCAAACTCTGTGTGTGTGGGTGGGTGCGCGCGCGCAAGCTATTGCCAGCCACTGCAACATGAGTTCAATTCTTAGCCAGGGAGATACCCACATGGTGCAGCGGACCTCTCCTATCTCACCCACTGCTCCCTTCAGCAGTTTATTTCAGTCAATTCACCTGTTCTGCTCCCCACTGTCTCTGGTGAATCCTCTCACCTACCCCACACCTCTGGCTTATACTCCAGTTCTTGTATGCAAAATTAAATTTTAAAAATCTTTTTAAATAAATAAAAGAGTGCTTAAAAAAAGTACTGATACACATACAATGTTATATGTAAATAAAAACATACAAAACAAAAACAGATTCCCTATCTATTATTATTTTTTTTTCCCTATCTATTATTTTAAAATCCAAAAATCTCTAAAATCCCAAGTTAGGCAGCAAACTCATTCAGATGAAATCCTACCTTGAACTGATTTGAGGTTTTCTTACAGGCCTTATAGATCTCATTTCTTATAATTAGCCAAATATCTCACTGCAGAAATACTATGTTTAACCAGGAGGCATCACCTGAAGACTACTCTATACTAGACTTCACTCAACATCCACCCAATATCCAAAATACGTCCACTCCAAAACACATCTACCCAAAGGGTTTGAATAAGGACTTGCTGCCATCTTATATATTCTATGGGAATATGTATCTATTTGCAATTAAATAGAAAATGAGAAAGGAGATATTCAAAACTGGTGCAGCAGTTACCTCTGGGGAAGAAGCAAAGGAACTTCAGCTTTATACAAGGTCCTCAATAAGTAGATAATGGCTAGCAGTTACTATTATTATTATACTATTATTATACTATTATTCAGGCACATAATGTATTTTGCAAATATTATTGCAATAGCCTCACTACCAGTTTCACAGAAAGACTGCCCAGTGCCTAAAAATCTATTCTAAACACAACAGCCAAAGTAACTGATCCCTTCACAGTACGTCAATAGCATCACTCCTCGGCTCAATCAGGGCTCCAAATCCCGCCCGGAGAGAACATCCCAATCATTACAAATGCCCAGCATCCCCAAGACCTCAATGCATCAAATTCAAGGCTCACTTTCCTCCCTATAACACCCCCCTCCCCACCAACTTGCCTCCTTGATGTACCTTGATCCTACCAAGAACACACTACTCCAGGGTCTTTTATGCTGCTCCTTCTCTGTATCACTCCCCAAGAGGTATCTGAAGGGCTTACTCGCTCACTTCCTTCTTTTCCTTGCTCAACCCTGACCACCCAGTGATGGACATGCTGAGTGTAGGGTCTACTGTGAACCAAAAACCTTCCACATTTCAAAATGTTTTATTAAAAACATTCAGTTGGCCGGGGGTGGGAAAGCTGTGTGGATGGGGGGCCTGTGTGTGCAGGGGTAAGGAGGATTAAAAAAAATAAGAACTAATCAATTATAAATTTTTTCTTAGTTTTAAAATGTAAATGGGGCCCTTCCTGGTGGCATAAAAGGTTAAAATGCAGCATTGCAACTAGCAACAGCCCCTTCAGTGCAAGTTCCAGCCCTGGAGGTGACCCACATAGCGCAAAAGACCTCTCCTGTCTCATCCGCTGCTCCCCTCGGCAGTGTAACTCGTCAATCTGCCTGTACTGTTCCCCACTCTGTCTCTGGTGAATCCTCTCACCGCCCACACCTTTGGCCTGTCTTTAAAATTTAAATGATATGTAGTGATGTTAAAATTTTTATTACCATACCTGTAGCTGTTGAAGATCATCTTCTTGAATGTTCTGGGACAAATTATAAATCTAGAAAACAAAAATCCAGATTTATACTACTCTAGCTTACTTCAGACAAGCCTCCAATCTCAATAAGCTTAAAGGCTGTACATAAGAAAATAGGGGCCTCTCTGGTGGCTTAGGGGTTAAGTCTCAAAACGATCAGTCTATCATTGGCATGGCCTGAGTTTGCTCCCCAGCCAGGGAGCTGACCCACATGGCACAGCAGACCTCTCCTGTCTCATCTGCTGCTCCCCTCAGCAGTGTGTATTTCAGTAGATCCACCTGTTCTGCTCTTCGCTGTCTCTGGTGAATCCTCTTGCCCCACCCTCCCCATACCTCTGGCCTATATCCCAGTTCTTGTATGCATAAATAAAAATAAATGTCTAAATAAAAAAAAAAGAAAGAAAGAAAAGGGAAAAAAATGAGGCCTATTCAAATAGCAATATTATCTGTCTTTTTGGAAAACAATGCAGAGAAGGTTAAAAATCACAAAACACTTCTTTTACAATGTGAAATAAAGTTTTTCTAATTTCCTACCAAATTTATATTTCCTATTGATGTAATTGGTGTCATCTCAATTTCCACTTTTCAGGCTTTTCATAGAATATTTTATATATAACACACATACACACACATATATGTGAGCAAAGTGTGAAAAGTTTAAGCTGCTTCTTAAGCTTCTAAATGCTTAACTTTTACATGCAGTCTAAAGACATTTACATCTCATCCAAAGACTGGGGTGACATAATAACTGACACAAGATATACGCCCCTTAGTATCTCCTGTGTTTTTCCCTAGCCAAGTGGTTTTACCTGAACAGAACTTGTCATGGTGCTGAGGGCGAAGATGGTAGCACAGTCTTTCACAGTGGACTGGCTGTCAAATGCCCCCTGGGTATCCATCAGAACTACAGCAACCTAAAAAAAAGTAAACAAGAGAGACAAAACAGGCTGTGTGAGAAAAGAGAAATGTAAAAAGGAGAAACTGAAAAGCACAGGCAACATTTAAATGAAGCTTAAACACCCACTTACAGGTTCTACCAAATAGTACAATAGTTTAGGTGCCTTTCTCTCACCAAAGGCCTTTGCTGGGAAGGATTATTGCTCTGACCTGGTGAGAGGATATAAAACCAGGGGATGAGAGCAACACAGACTGGGGAAATCACCCCACCAACCCAAACAGATCAACCAGCTAATCGCATGGGTGTCTTCTGTTGTCAAAAAAGAAATTAAAAACATGAACAGACTTAGTTCTAACTTAGGTATAATCCAAAGTAAAACAGATGGCATTTACCTACAAGACTGTATGGTCTAAATTTCTGTGGTTTTCTGGCTGACATTAAAAAAAAAGTTTATTTTGATCTTTACAAAAGACAAATGCCAAGTGATAGTAGGAGAATTAAGTATCACAGTCCCCCTACAGAACTGGGTTTCATGAAGTCTCAAGTTTTCCTGGGAGACCCATTCCCATCCTAAAAGTGAGATTTATGCAAATATTAAATAAAATGCAGCATATTATCCTAAAACATTCAAATTCACATATAATGTAACTGATTCAAAGAGAGGAACTGGTTTTAGTATGCTCAGAAGGGTAAGCTAATTCATCAACAAGGGTCTAGTTCTTTACCAAGAGGATGGCAAAGGACAAAAGGAACTTTCTATGAAGCTCCATTGAGTCCAAAAAGAGGTATGTCATAGTCCAAAATATTTTAAAGATTCATAGTAGCAAGTAAATGCAAGTAAATACTGTAGTATAGTCCCTTGGACAATGCAGGGGTTAGAGGCACAGACTTTCTCTTCTCCATTCAGTCGAAAATCCATGTGTAACTTTTGGCTCCCTGAAAACTTAGCCACCATTAACCTGCTGTTGACTGAAAGCATTACCAATAACACAAGTGGTCAAGTAACATTTTGTACGTTATAGGAATTCTAACAATAAAGTAAGCTAGAAAAAATAAAATTACTAGGGAAAATACATTTACAGCACTATATTGTATGTCTCCAGAAGTTGAGCTCATGGACTGACTAGAAAAGCCATGTACTGCGGGTCTGCGCTAGTAAAACCCATGTTGTGTTCAAGTTATTTTTGTTCTTAGAAATGAAGGTTCACTTCATATAACTTGTATGTCAAGTCAAAGTGACCATTACACTTACGGGGTTTATTTTATATGCCCAACCCACAGGGGCAGAATGGGTAAAAAATACTCAGCGGAAAAGATAAATTCAAAATCAGTAATATCTTCAGCCTGAATACAACAGAACCTATCTACCCATACTTTACCTGCTTTGTGAAGAGGGTGCAGTCAGACTCAAAAAGCAATCAAGACGAATGAGGACACATGGAGAATCACATACAAAAGAATGACCCTGGGTCCCACCTCATGCCACATGTAAAAGTTACTCATAATGGGGCCCTCCTGGTGGCGCAGCAGGTTAAAGCGCAGACCTCTCCTGACCGCCCGCTGCTCCCCCAGCAGTGTACTTCATCCACCTGCCTGTTCTGCTCCTCACTCTGTCTCTGGTGAAGCCTCTCACCACCCATGCACCTCTGGCCTGTACCCCAGCTCTGTGTACGTAAATAAATCTTTTTAAAAAAAAAAAAGTTACTCAGAATGGACCAGAGACTAGTCATACAGTATTTAGAAGAAAACCCAAGTGTGACTCTTCATGCCCCAGGATTAGACAACAGCTCTTTTCAATCGGACAACTAAAGTACCAGCAACCAATACAGACAAACTGCACTTGATCAAAATTTAAAAACTTGTTCATCAAAAGACACTCCCAATAAAGTAAAAAGACAACCCAAAGGATGGAAGAAGTATCTGACAAGGGTCTAGTATCCAAAATACAAAAGGAACAATTTGAAAACAAAAAGACAAACTAACAAAAAGATAGCTTTGATGTGAACAGACATTTCTCCCAGAAAAAATATACAAATGGTTATTAAGTACATGAAAAGATGACCAACGTCATTAGTCAACCCTACTACTTCACACCTACCAGGTGGCCTATAATTAGGAAATGAAGAGTATCAGGTGTGGCCAGGTGAGTTGAGGTATGGCCGAGTGTAGTGTGATAGGAGCCTCCTACATTTCTGGTGAGCTCATAGGGCAGTACAGCTGCTTTGTGGAGTAATTTGACAAATTATGAAAGGGTTAGACAGCATCTGTGATGCAGAAACTACACTCCCAGGCATATCCCCAAGAGAACAGAAAATATATTTTACTCCTTCAAACTCAATAGTGAAAAAGTCCAATTTAAAAATAAGGAAATGTCATCAATAGGTACTTCTCCCAAAACGCACACAAAATGGCCAACAAGTACTATAAGAAAAGGTGTGCTCCTGCCATCACCAATAAAGTACAAATCAAAACCACAATCTGACACCCTCTCACAACTGCAAGGGAGTAAATTACCCAAAAAAATAAAAAATAAAAATGAGAATCAAGATATGGAGAAACCCTTTCACAGGGCTGGTGGACATAAAAAATGGTGTCGTCATTGTGGAAATTGTGGGGGGGGAATTATGATTCTGCAGAAATTCAAAAATAGAACTACCTTATGATTCAGCAATCTCACTTCACTTCTGGAGATGGGTCCAAAAGAACTGAAATCTGGATTCTGAAAAGACAGCTGCAGCCCCAAGTGCATGGCAGCACTGCTAACAACAGCCGGTGTGGAAACAGCCTAAACGTCCGCCTACCCCGGAGGGAAGACTCCATGCGACACACTTCAGCCATAAGGGGGGGAGGGGAGCTAGCCAGGCGAGGACACTGCCACACCTAAGAGTAAGGATGAACCTGGAAGACACGATGCAGAGGAGATGAGTCAGTCCGAGAAGAGCAAACGCTGCCTGGTGCCACTTCCATGAGGGTCTTTACAATAGCAAGACTCCGAGAGACAAGTACATGGTGGGCGCCAGGGCCGGGGAGGGGAGATCGGACTTCAGGTTTGGTTACTTGAGATAAATGGGTTCTAATGGTCGCTGTGCAGCCTAGTGCCCATGGGAACACCCAAAGATGTTTTAAGAGTAGATCCAATGTTAAGTCAAAAAAAATCAAAGAAAAAGAAAACATTTTCAACACAAACACTTGCACACAAATGCTCACGGCAACTTTATTTATAGCAGTCCAAAAGTGGAAATAACCCATATGGCCTTCAAGGGAGGGCGGAATGAGCACAGCGAACACATTCATGCAACGGAACATTGTTCAGCCCAGGAAGGAGTGACCTTCCGAGTCGCCTGAGCACTGGGCTGGGAGGAAAACCAGATAAAAAACACCACATAATGTATGACCCCATCTGTACAAAATGCCCAGAGGAGAAAGACCACTCATGGCCAGGCCCTGGGAGGAAAGGGGCTTAGGAAGTGACTATTAGTACTGGGTTTCTTACTAGGGTAATAAAAATGTTCTGGAGTTAGATGGTGGTGATTTCAAGGATAGGAAACCAAGATGACAGAAAAACCTGGAGCTTTATAGGAGTCCATTTAAAAAGATAAAAACATGAAAGAACTATAAACATCAGAAACTAAAGACAAAGCTAGCTTACTGCTATAATTGTACAAACTTCCTAAATTATTAAGGGGAATTACTATGCCAGATTCCCAAATAAAAAACAGTTAGGTCCAGTTCTATACAGAGAAATCACATTGTCAAAAACTCTTTATTCCTAAAAACAAAAGATGTAACCACCTACCACACATATTACAGAAACACAGAAAGAGAGCATGATACAGAAAAACAGAACTGAAATGAAAGTTACAGGGCGCTGCTGTAACACCAGCCCCACAGGAGCTGGCTGCACTGTTCACTGGGTCTGTTCTCTGCATCACTAAAATGAAAAAATTGGACTTGCACTTCCGGTCAGCATAGTGCATCAAAGAGAATGGCTTCACCCTTCCAGCAAAAAGCAAAAGTAACAGACCACATATATAAAGCAACAGTTTTTCAAGATCATGGCATCAGGTAACAACGACAAGGATGCTCCTGAGAAGGGAAATAGGTGAGGTAGCCTCAGGCTTCTGCTCGTCCTAGACAGAACCCAGGCAGGGTCCCAGAGTCCCTGGGCGGAGGAGACAGAGCAGGAACCAAGGAGACCCAGGCCAATGGCGCACTCAGGTTGAGGCCCTGAGGAGAGGAAGCAAAGAACCCCAGGGCACCGCTAGGAACTGGCAGCCTTGAATTCCATATCCTGCAAAAATATTTTCAAAAATAAACACTTTTCAGGTCTATAAAAGCTATCAGAATCTAGCACCAGCAGACCAGAGATATCACAGTCCTTCAGGCAGAAACAAAAATGGACATAAAACATAGAAATATGGACACATATAGGCCTGCTTGTACCTATGCAAGTAGTATCTTTTTCTCTCCTGTCTCTTACTAATAAACTTTCTCTTAAAAAAAAAGAAAAAGGAAAAGTATGGACACCAAAAAAAACCAGAGCACAGTTAATGGTAACTGAGTAAATATGTGACTTTTTTCCTATTAATTAAACATTTAAGCTAACCAATGGATCTAACTGTTGAAAGAAAATGTTTCTAAGTATAATATGTGACTGGAAGAGGAAAAATGGAATGTCAAGTATCACCTCAATAGTCATTAAAAATGAAAAGTTGGATAAAATAACATCAAAACGTCCTTCCATGAAAAAGTTTCTAGGGCCCCCCCCAAAGGGGCAATGGGTTGGAGCGCTGCATTGCGAAGGTGAGCCCGACGCTAAGCCAAGCCGTGATGGCTTCCGTGTGAGTTCTGTTCCCATTCTGGAGATGATCTATATGGCCCGGCAGAGAGACTACTGCCCGCCCGCTGCTCCCCTCAACAGTGTGCCTTGTCGATCTGCTTGTTCTGCTCCACACTCTGTCTCTGGTGAATCCTCTCCCCGCCCCTGTACCTCTGGCCTGTACCCCAGCTCTGTATGTATAAATGAATCTTTTTTTTTTTTTTTTTATTTCTTTTTTTTTAAAGATTTATTTATTTATTCATACAGAACTGGGGTACAGGCCAGAGATTCGGAGGGTGAGAGGATTCACCAGAGACAGAGCGGGAAGCAGAACAGGCAGATCGATGAAGTACACTGCAGAGGGGAGCAGTGGGCGGGTCAGGAGAGGTCTGCCGCGCCATGTGGTCACCTCCGGGGCAGGCGGGAATCGAACTCATGCGGAAGCGGCTTTAGTTTCTCAGTGCAGTGCTTTAACCCGCTGCGCCACCAGGGAGGGCCTAAATGAATCTTTTAAAAAGAGAGAGAGAGAAAGTTTCTAATGTTGTAATACAATTTTATGACTCCTTCCTTTTCTTCATTCTCTTTTTATAAAAAAAAGTGTAATAATCATCCCACTTGTTGCATAAACATGCATTATTAAGGTTTCCAAAATACCCTCCTGAAGCTTTTCTCTAAAAAAACAGAAATATAAAAAGAAATAAGAAAAGTTATAAGGATAAAATAGAAGATGTGAAAATGACAATCAAAAGCAGTGCATTACTGGACTACGGTGATGGCACACAGGAGAGTTCCACGGGAATTACAACTAAGATGGAAAAATGCACAAAATGATGTAAAAATAAACTATTATATTATTTTTTTAAAAAAGCAGTGTATTAACTTCCCCACTGCCAACACACAAATAGCAACATTTGTGGAAAGGCTGAAAGAGAAGAGCCTGAAGGGGGATATGAAACACTAAGCCCTGGAAAGACAAAATTTAGAAACATACAGCTGTGAAGAACACTGGTAGGACAGAACTGAGAACACAGCAATGGGCGACAGCCTGTTTAGATAATAAATGACAGCCCAAGTGCCCTCTTAGCCTTTCCAGAGAAATCTGGGGAGGCCAGGTGAGACGGGAAAGATGCCCCTCGGACAGCCTGACAGCAGGTGGCCAGTGACCGCTCCCGAACTGAGGCTCCACTGGCCCTTCTCTGCTCAGCTCCCCAACGACCACAGCAAGTCTGTGTCACCAACTCACAGTAAAAAAGTTAAAGAACATCTAAGTAGCTGAGCGCATCAGCCCCTGGGAAACAGAAATGGCAAAGGAGGGACAAGCCACCTGACAGCTATTTCTTCTTAAAAGCCATATATTCTACTGAATTATATTTGTAAACCATTCAGGTCTCATTTTGTTGCTCTTGTGCTAACCTAACCTGTAGGTCGTTTTCTGCCTTACCTTCTTCCCACCTGGCTTCTCCACAGTAAAAACTTCACTCCAGATCTGAATCCCCGTAGTTTCTGGGTCAGAGCCCCCTCGCCATGAAAATCCCGTTAATGGTTCTTCTGGGTCACCCAACCAATTTGAATGGCCACCTTCCTTCTATTAGAGAAATAAAAAAAATATCCATTACATCTTAAATTTTGAGTTAATTTATACATCAAGAATAATTCACGGGCTTATTTTGCTCTTTTGGGTACAAGATAAAAAGAATTCTACCTCACCTGGGAATATAAGTATCGTAGCATGAAGTCCAGAAAGAAGGACTTGCCCTTCCGGAAGGCACCAGCCACTGACACCACCACCACATCGAGGTCCCGGATATGGTCCTGCAACAGGATGCTGGCCAAGGCTTTCTCCTCTAGCTCAAAGGAATGCTGGTCTTTCTGAACCAACACCACCTGCACTGGGCCAGGTTTCCCACTCTCCATGGCATCACCTGTGTTATCACAAAGAATGACATTCAAATATTTCTAAAACATGTATTGGTGAACAGAACAGGGCACACAAGAACACTAACTATAAAAAGTAAAAATGATAGGGCCTCCCTGGTGTTACAAGGGGTTAAGTCTTAGCCCTATCAAAATATCCCCAGCCACTGAAGCATGAGTTCAATCCCCAACCAGGGAGGTGACCCCTGAGGCTCAGCTGACCTCTCCTGTCTTGCCTGCTGCTCTTCTCAGCAGTGTATTTTAGTAGATCTGCCTGTTCTGCTCCCCACTCTGTCTCTGGTGAATCCTCTCACCCCCAAATACCTCTGGCATATACCCAGTTCTGTATGCATAAATAAATCTTTAAAGATAAATAAATAAGTATACTTAAAGTATGAGGACAGTTATTCAGTCACGCATAGTACAGGTAGATAAGGCCCCAAATCACAAATAGAATGGCCCCCAGGTGACTCTCACCTAGGAAGCAGTACAGGCTGCAGGATCACAGCAGGGAGGTGGGGGTGGGGGAAGGACCTGACTAAACAGCCAACAGACTGGACCCTTCCCACCAGGTCTGCTGCTCACTGTTTATATTCACATCAGAACAACTGGAAGGATCCTGCATGTTTTTTGGGTTTTTTCCCCAGACTATAGGAAAGCACGTTATAGTTTAAATGCCATGCTGTCACTATAACAAATGTATACTAATGTTTTTCTTTCCCATTGTTGCCTGGGTTAAAAGGAAACATTTCTGTGAATAATCTCTTAAAGTTCTTGCTGCTGCAACAGCAGGTGAACCCAGGACCTGAAGACTTTGTCATTGATACAAAAGAACTAGGGAGAACAATTATTCAGACCTTGTGTATAAACCCATGTGAAGTACTGTACAGTACTCAAAGCAGCACCAAAATCCCTCAGATGGCTGGTTACCACCCATGATGATGGATTTTTGGAGGACATAAAAAACTGCCCAAAAGAAACACATTTCCAACCCCACCCTGCCGCTAGTCACAGGAAATGATACAAATTCCAAGTCACACCTCTCCCCCCCAAGCCTGCTGGCTGTGAGTCAGAGCAGGGGTGAGTCACCTGAACCAGACATTGGAAGGTTAACACCCCACGATTGTGGGAGCGACATGGTTAAAGAGGGCCAAGGGCTATGTACAGCAGGTCGCCATGCTGGTTCACTTCTTTGTAAAAGAGTTAGGCAGTCACCCCAAGGAGGCAGCAGGTGGTATCCCCAGAGCAGCAGGCAGGGAAGATAAAAATTTCAAGAGCTACGATAATAATCCAAGAGCTGAAATAATCCAATGATTCAAACGCATATAGCTCTGCACAGGGAATTACACTCCAAAATAAGTTAAACAGGCTGAGAAGGACAACTGCGGGGGAGCCAGGAGGGAGGGCTAGAGGTGATAGCTTCACTCATCTCTTCCTCTCCATCTACTGCACAGTAAAAAGGAAGAGAACCAGGCTGTGTACACTTCGGGAACACTCTGGGTTAAAAAAAAAATCTTGTGCCTTTGATTTGGATCCATTTAAGGAAAAAGTCCTTTTGTAATCCTTTGCCTTTTACTTGAACTGTCCACGTCACACTCAATTTAAACAAGCAGAGCAACTCCCTTCTCACCACACCATCCTCGTCACTAAGACAAAAGAACCGACTATATTCCAGGTAAAAAGTTTATTTCTACTCGCCCCTTTCCAAATGACATATAAATGTTCTTTTCTGACCTAGCCTGACATTTCAGACTACCCTTCATCAGGGCCTGATGCCCTCTCCCTTATGCCATGCCACCTTCCAACCTTTCTTGTTCAGGAGCCCATTCAAGTCATCTTCCCTATATGTTGCTTCGATGACATCACTGCTCTTCTTAGGATTGAGCCTTTCATTACCTGCACAGACATGAACTCAAAGTTTGAGTTATGAATTGAGCACAAGGCTAGAGTCTCCAAACCCTAAGTTAAAACCTTTTACCCTTCTCTCCCCCACAACCCCGCCCCCCTGCCTTATTTCCTCTTAATTCTTAATTCTCTTCACCTCCCAGACAAATTTATTCCAATTGGTCCTTCTACTAGAAGTTGGAATTCAGGTCCTGTCCATTCTTGATTCCAAAATTTCCAATGTACAACCTCTTGAACCCTTTGTTCTCACATCTGAAATGCCTCTTCCACTCGACCACATGTGCCTACTCAAGCTCTCAACTCATAACTCACTCGCACCCACCCCACCTCCTCTCATACCTAGCATTTACAGCTACACTAAAGAGAAACCATTCTGCAGCCCAAACAGAGCAGGCCTGGATCCTCACTTCTCCCCTCCAGAAGGTAAGCTCCACGAGGCAGGACTGTTCAGTCCTGCATCCCTCAAGAAGCCAGTGTGAGTGCGCAGAACAGGCATCCAATTAATAATTGTGGACTAAATGAACCCTACCTTTTAATCAAAATGTGACAATGGATATAAAATTTGAACCACTGTGGCTCCATTTATTTATAAATTTAACACCCACCTCAAAGCACTGCCCACACGTATTAGGGACTCACAAAATACAGACCCATTTTTCTACTTCCACTAACACCTGGACACACTATTATTCCATTCACTGCTATCATACTGTAATTAGGGTTCATCAGCCAGACTGGGAAGTAGCGAAATGTCACATTCAGTGCGGGGTACAATTCGGGGAGAGTTGTACTTGAACATAAAACACAGGTAAAGCACCTCAGTAAAAATCAGCTTCTTTCCTGCCTTTCATTATTAAATCCCTTTGGCCTCGCTTGCCAAATCCAGTAGCCGCCTTCATTCAAGACTATCAACAATTGCCACCCACGTCTCAAAGTTCTTAAAACCTTGTGATCATCTTAAAACCCCTTTACCAACTCCTTTCACTAGCTTTTTCTTCTTTCCAACAGAAAACACACTAATGTTCTGCTGTCTTCCATAGTTCTCATTCAGCTCCTTCATTCTGATAATTTTACTATAACCTCTTTCAGTGATGCAACTTCAGTATTTTCGAAAGTGCATTTAGGTCCAAAAGTACAGTGCCTAAGGGACAGATTCACCTAGTAATTCCACCTTCACTTCAGCTCTACAATAATAGGCAGAAATATCTGGGCATAAGAGTCAGAAGACAAGTTCCTGTTCCAGTTCTACCACTAACCACCTGGCACACTGGGCAGGTCCAGTCTTCAGCTCAACAGGACAGCACGTCAAGGGCTGAACCTCTAGCAAGCCTTCTGGTGTGGACACTGCGTCACCTACATTTGAGCCAAATGAACCTGCGTGTGTTTGCCCATGACAGCGGGTTGTCTAAAAAAGTGGGTCCTGGGCCCTCCCTGGTGGCGCAGCGGGTTAAAGCACAGCACTAAGAAGCTTAAGCCACTTCCGCATGAGTTCGATTCCCGCCTGCCCCGGAGGTGACCACATGGTGTGGCAGACCTCTCCTGACCCACCCGCTGCTCCCCTCAGCAGTGTGCTCCGTCGATCTGCCTGTTCTGCTCCCCGCTCTGTCTGTGGTGAAGCCTCTCACCGCCCCTGAGCCTCTAGCCTGTACCCCGGTTCTGTATGTACAAATAAATAAATCTTAAAAAAAAAAAAAAAAAAAGTGGGTCCTCTCAGTGACCCCACTGCTCTCAGATCATCTCAGCCTATCTCCCCGACTTTTATCTTATTTTATGCAACAGACCACTGAGCCCTAGCATTTCTTCCTTCTCTGCTATAATTGTACTTTTGGCAAAGGTAGTTGTCCTGGCAAGGCAGTGTGTATTGAAGCAAGACCTCCCCGACAATCAGGAAAGACCAGGGTTCTGGGCCCAATGTTGCACTGTCTGACAGCATAGTGACCTCGCTTTCAGCATCTCTGTGTCCTCTACAAAACCAGCAGTTTAATGAAACTGTTTCCTACTTCTAAAATTCAATGACTCTTGAACTAACAATTTCCTACGTATCCTAAACTAGCCAAACTTGTTAGCTAACTCACTCATCCCTTGACTTCTCTGAAACTGTACAGGCCTGCCTCAAGAACAGATCAAAATTCATGATGCTAAAAACACTGCAGCAACTTGCTTAGTAAGGACCCATTCAAAATACTGGGGGGTAATGAGGGAAAGGTTCCTTCTAATTATAGTGAAATTGTTGCCACTTCTCAGGAATCTGCTCCAGGGATGGTATTAGGAAAACCTTTCAGGGACAAACTTACATGCTTTCTCCTTTAACAAAGCAATTATTCCCCCAGGTTTAGATAAGCATTTTCAGACAACAGCTAATGTTCACGTACATGAATAGTTAATTCTGTATTACAATACATATACGAAGAATAGATATTTCTGTAGACATAGACATGAGTTGACAAAAGCCACATCTGTCATTCATACACCTGTAAATGAACTAAAAACCAATGCTTAAAAAAAAAGCAAGTGCTAAAAGTACTGATGATTGTAGCAAAGAGCTCATGGTAACACTGTATCAACCATCATTTCAAAATTAGTTGGATGATTTTTTTTTAAGATTTATTTATTTATGCACACAGAACTGGGGTACAGGTCAGAGGTGCAGGGGCAGTGAGAGGATTCACCAGAGACAGAATGGGGAGCAGAATAGGCTGACTGATGAAGTACACTGCTGAGGGGAGCAGCGGGCGGGCCAGGAGAGGTCTGCCACGCCATGGGGATCAGGCGGGCAGGTGGGGCTCGAACTCAGTGAAAAGTGGCTTTAGCTTCTTAGTGCTGTGCTTTAACCCGCTGCGCCACCAGGGAGGGCCCAATAGCTGGATAATTTAAAAGCGCTTTAGGGGCCTCCCTAGTGGCCCAAGGGGTTAAAGACACAGCACTATCAAGCTATGGCTGCAGCAGGATTTCAATCCCTGGTCAGGGAGCTAACCCACATGGCACAGCAGGCCTCTCCTATCTCCACACTGTTCCCCTCGGCAATGTATTCAGGAGATCTGCCTGCTCTGCTCCCAAGTGTCTCCGGTGAATCCTCTCAATCTCCCCCCCCCCACCTCTGGCCCACACCCCAGTTCTTGTATGAATAAATAAATCTTTTAAAAATAATTTTTTTTAATTTTTCATTAGTTTATGTGATAGTTACAAGCTTCCTTATAATTAGTTTTATCCTTAACTCTTGGTACAATGCAACTTAATCAGAACAACCAGTAGGTTTAAATGTCTTCAAACAATCTCTGAACTAAAATGATGATAACTCAGTAAGCTGAAGCTGAAAGACCATGGGGTGAAATAATTACAGAATGAAGAGATCTGTGCATATAAAGGCACTTTCTAGAATTAGCTCTTAACTCAGTTTTTAAAAGCTTGAAAAGAACTGCACAGATTGAATCAAAGTAGATGAGACTACTGAACCATTATCAGCTTTTCAGTCCTTGGAAAACATAAAATCGAAGAAGTTTCATTAGAAAAAAAGTCTCAAATATTTGAGACTGTGAACACTGATAGATTCCATGAAACCAGTTCATTGATGAAGTTACAAATGGTATTTCAGGAAACTCAGTTTCTCAACCTCAGTAAACACTGGTGTTTAGTTCCCCTCCCACACAGGAGGAAGCATTTTGATATCCCCCACCCCAAAATTGTCTCCAAACATTGTTAAAATCTCTATGGTGGCAAAACCACCCTAGATTAAGAACCACTGGGGTAAAATCAGCCTCCACACTCTCCCTTACTGCCAAGTTCCAGAAAGCAAATTCAAGTTACAGAAACATCTCACTTGAGTGCATGAGTCAGGGTAAAGCTATGACCTGAGGTTTCCACTCTCCTTTGGAGATACCACATTCTCTACAGGGTAAGAGCAACACACCCAAAACCAGAAGCACATTATTTTCACGGGCTGCTCCTGCTTGCAGCCATGAAAGTTCCCAGTCCACAGACAAAGCCAGGAAAAACACGTCAGCATCTTCCAGGTAAGCCTTGAGAAACTCTGGGTCTACTGGATGTGGTGCCTTTCTGATAGTGGTGGGGTGTGCTTCAATACATTATTTTTTTAATATATAATGTTTGTCTTAAGCCATTAAATATGCAGGTAGGTACACATATATTTTTTAAAGACTTATTTATTTATGCATACAGAACTAGGGTGCAGGCCAGAGGTGCAGGGGCAATGAGAGGATTTACCAGAGACTGAGTGGGGAGCAGACAGATCAACAAAGTACACTGCTGAGGGGAACATCGGGTGGGTCAGTAGAGGTCTGCTGCGCCATGTGGATCACCTCCAGGGCCAGGATCAAACTCATGCTGAAGTGGGTTTAGCCTCTTAGTGCTGTGCTCTAACCCTCTGTGCCACCAGGGAGGGCCTAATACACATATATTTTTAAGGCTGCTTCAGCAAAAAATACTATTTCAACCCACCTAAACAGAATATTAGGGGAAATTTACATTCTAATTAAAGGAAGCTTACTCTCACTTCATATGTTGTCAAAAATCTGTACTGTAGCACAGAATGCTAAGCAAAACCACATTTTCTTCGTCAACTAAGAATTCTGTCATGCTTCATGTTTATGAAAATCAATTATGACTAAACAGTACTGAAGATTCCAAAATTCAGAGGCCACACTAAATCTAAAAATAATGCCAAGTTATTCTGCATGGGGGAAAATCTTTTTTTTTAATAGACGGAGTTCAATATTCAACTTACTTGACACTTTCCTAAAATGATAAAACCAAAACTAATCTAGTTACTCGAATTTACTTTACCTGCAGCTAATTAAGTTTCTCTTCATTAGCAATATTTGACTTGGATCCCTTACCATTCAAGGCATTAATAAAAAGTTCAGTAATTCCTTTGCTTATTAGTCACCTATTTTCAGTAAAGTCTGTTTTCTAATCTGTAATACACTTAGTGTGGAATATTTAGCATGCTCTGAGAATCAAAATGTATGCCAAGAAAAAGCATTCTTTTAGAAATTTATATAGATGAGCAACTTCTGAAAACAGTGAACTTATAAGTTCCTATAAAGTAATAAATCAATTCAAATGTAAACAACCACCTTCAATTAAACTTTTTAGTAAGTAAATTCATTACTTAAATCTTTTTAACTGTTGCCTGATCACAAAATGAATTAAGTCAGAATTTAAGTCTCTAACATGTGCAGATGTAGCAGTAAGGCAACTGATTTTTTTTCTCCCTTTTAAGTGTGTTCCCTCTTTTTCACCATTAGTGTTTTTTAGACCTAAGTGTCTAGAATCTCAAAAATAACCCAGGAAAGCCTTTAAAAAATCAGACTTAAAGCCTCCCTGATGGTACAGAGGTTAGTCAGCACTATAAAGCTATTGCCAGCTACTGTAGCACAAGTGGATCCATCCATTGCCTGGGAGCTGACCCACAGGGTGCAGCAGACCTCTCTCCTGTCTCCCGCTCTGCTCCCCTCAGGCAGTGTTATTTCAGTAGATCAGTCTGTTCTGCACCCCCCTCTGTCTCTAGTGAATCCTCTCAACACTCCCCCACCTCTGGCCTGTACCCCAGTTCTTTTATGCATTAAAAAAAAAAAAAAAAAAAAAAAAAAAGGCCCTCCCTGGTGGCTGGTGGGGCAGCAGGTTCAAGCACAGCACTGAAAAGCTAAAGTCACTTCCACATGAGTTCGATTCCCGTCTCCCCGGAGGAGACCACATGGCGCGGCAGACCTCTCCTGACCGGCCCGCTGCTCCCCTCAGCAGTGTACTTAGTTGATCTGCCTGTTCTGCTCCC